GGGAGGCGGCTACGAAGAGCGACAAAAGAGCTGATGAAACCCCAGAGGGCAGGATTGGCAAAAGTAGAGTCTCATGAGGCTTGTAGCCGTAAGCACGGAAGACTATGTGCTCCGAATCCGCAGGCAACAAGACGTACAGAAAACAGCACCAAACATGCCACATTTGCGCAATGTCCAACGAGGGCTTCGTGGTGGAACCTTGCGCTGTGCAATGGAAGTCCTAGTCGAGACAAGGTGTAGAGTGTAAAGAAAGGGGATGCCCACTTTGCAGGGGAAACTTAGCCCAAACAGGTCGTATTGAGTGACTCGAAGAGATCTATGTGCAGATGGTACAATCTTCGATGTAGTTCCGAGACATGCCGTCGAGCTGCAGGTTGCTTTTTTGTGTTTCATCGGCAGTAGACACGTAGCGGACGCTGAGCGAGAAGTGGCCGCGAGGCTAAGACTCCGCCTCAACCCTTGTTGAAAGCGGCTTGATTGCGGAGCGAGGTCACATGGTCAGAGAGTATTCACGGACTCGCATAGGGCGTTCTGGCATTCATACTTCAGCGGAGCCCATGTTTCCGGGTGCTAAGGCAGTTTGTGGGTCGCAGCACACACTTGCAAGTACGGACCTTATGCATGCACCCTAAAAACGCCGTAGCTTACTGACCGACACGCTCACCTGTGCCGCGAACCTCATTCAAAGCGTGGACTTTCTCACGGAGCAAGGTTTCCAGGCGGCCAATTAGCGAGCCTAGCTTGCAAGCCAAAAGCCCAAATTTGGCACTTGGGGTATTTCAGTGTTTGGTGTGTGGGTAAGCCGCAGCAGCAGCAACTTGCAATCACTGTAAATCCCTCTGAAATGTTATTACCTCTATAGTCAACAACTAAGCCTACTAAGCCAGACATCGCGGCTGAGAAAGTCCAGGCTATCCCAACCGTCCCAACCCGGCACGGTGTCGGAACCTACACCGGGTGCCAAACTGTGGTCGGACAAGGGCCGAGCTGCACAGGTCCAGGGCACGAGACAAACAGGCCGCAGGGTTTCTAGGTTGTTTCTGCAGGCTTGTTCTAGGACCTTGCTGATCATGGCTATGCTGACATGCAAGGTCAACTGTCAAGCTGCATCTACTTCCATACTCGAATCGCGCAATGCCTGGGTTGTCGGAGGCCTTGTAAGATGCGAGAATGCAGCCGTTCATCATCAGCGGTACCTGAGCCAGCCCTTACACCTGCAAATTGCCCTAACTGAAACCTTCCCAGCCATCCCAGACCCAAGAAGGCCACAAGCCCCCTACCCACGGCCAAGACCCCAGAAACCCGAAGTCGAGTGGTCCTCGGATTCCCATTCCCAAAGGACCATCTCACAGCTCTCTGCGACATTAGGTCTTAGCCGCTTAGACCCACAGAAGGGCTTTTGATAAGTATTGGTTGTGAACAGGCAACACAAAAGGCGTTTTGCTTCGCATAATCGCAAGTTCAAGGTTTTGAGCCGCCGGCGATATGCCGGCTAACGCAGGGTGCAGCGACCGCCTCCGCTTTCTATTACGCGCCAAGGTCTTCGACGGTGGTGAGAACCCCTTCGTCCTGCGTGACGCCGAGGTTCATCAGGCATGCTGGCTTTGTGGCGCGGGCTTCTTCTTCTCCTTCTCCTTAGCCATCTTAGGGTTATAAGGGGGCAGGGTGTGGGGGGGGGTGAATGAGTGAGGGCATAAGCGAAATGCAGGAGATAAATGTGTCCCTGGTCAGCATCCAAAGCGAGAAATCTGAATTCCGAAGGCTCTGATGACCTTGCCTTCCGGCGTGCAGGCAGGTGCTGCAGCATGTCGATGTCTAAATGTCGGTACGCGCGGGCTCGATGTTGCACTGCTGAGCCTGCAGAGGGAACAGAGCCTTGCAATTCCAAGGTTGGTTGAGAATTTGAGCACCTTGCAAGATTGATGCTTTTCTCCATGTCTCTTCAGGGCGTGCACTGCACTTGTCATCACGGACGTTGATGACAGTTCTGCTTCTCTCGATGCTTGGGAGACGTTGCACCCATCGAGGATGTCAAAACATAATCGAATTACAGAGATATCGAGCACCCCCCGCAAACGTACCATGCTGGATGTTGAACACAGAGCACAAGAAACCTACCCGATTCACTTGACATGTCCTCACGTTGCCGCCCATTCACATGTGAGTCCTCGAGGTGACGATTATCGTAGATGCCTGCCACGCAGGGAGGATGATGGATAGGCACGCTCCGATTCGCTACGTGTTCGCTTGCAGCCGATCCGTGGACTATCAGCAGAAGAGTACTTAACACTTCACAAAGTGGAAGCCCTGCAATCAGTCCATGAGTAGCTGAGTGGCCCTATATACCCTGGATTAGACATCTGAATGAACACCACCCGCACATCCGGCAGGAGTGCGTACTGTAATTACTGCATTCTGTGCCGGAACAGTCCGAAGGGTTGAGTACGAATTGCTACAGCCGGGACCAGCAGCGCAGGCCCAACTCCATGCCCAACCCTGAAAAAAAGAAAAGACCATGCCAGAGGGCCCCCCAGAACTTCAAAGTCTCTGCTCGAAAGCCTCTGCTCTGACAAGCATCCCCAAAGCCCACTCCACAGGGCTCTGGGTCCCAGTTTAGGGTTTAGGGTTTAGCGTTTAGGGTTTCGGGTTTGGGGTTTAGGGTTTAGGGTTTAGGGTCCCAGGGTTCTTGCGCCAGGTCGGCTGATGAGAGGTTCCCGTGCGCAGCTGCAAGGGGGCAGCGGGGGCCTTCACTGTGCTGTGCCTATAGTTACATATGGTTACTAGACTACTATAGTTACTATAGTTACTATATCACTATAGTTACTATATTACTATATTACTATATTACTATATCACTATATTGCTATATTACTATATTACTATATTACTATATTACTATATTACTATATTACTATATTACTATATTACTATATTACTATATTACTATATTACTATATTACTATATTACTATATTACTATATTACTATAGTTACTGTAGTTACTATATTACTGTAGTTACTATATTACTATATTACTATATTACTATCTTGCTCTAGTTCTACTTTAAGATTGGCATGCTCGGACACATCTTGCTTATTGTTTAGGCATCTCTCTCTTCACGCGTTTTTTTTTCACGAAGCCGGCCAGGTGGTTTGCATGCAGGGTCTATAGGGTGTATCCGTGACACTCGACGACGCAGGTACGTTTCTCGGGGCCATGTGGACTATGACAAGCTTCGCGCACATCCGGTCCGGGGGGGCATAGGGTCGGGTTTCTATGTAGGAGAGCTAAGTGTGGTGCAGGGCTGCTCACTCACTTGACTAAATTGGCACATTGGCACATGGAAGTCTGGAGCAACCCAGCCCTGAACACCGAACAGCGCTTTGGTCTGGCCACCAAGTCCTCAAGTGATTTCTGCTTTCGAAAGCACAAACAGGCAAAGGCGCAAAGGCGCGGCAGAAGCAGGATAAAACAATCAGCAGAAAGCTGGCAGAAGCAAGCACAACGCAGCCAGCAGAAAGCGAGACCCAAAGAAATGAATCCACAAGCAACAAAGCACATCCACCACATAATTCGGACCATAATTAGGATTCCTTGAAAACTCCGACGAGTAGGCTACGTGGGCTAGGGCGCTTGCAGACAAAGCGCTACCCTAGTCCAGGTGACCTAGCTGCTGCCTTGATCAGATTTCACCTGCTGCGCTGCACATCACCGACAGAGAAACAACCCAACACGGAGCTGCCTGCTGAATTCTGGCCTGGTTTCAGCCGTAGTTTCAACTTTGTGAGAGACTTGGCTTTACTTATAAGCCATGCTCCGCGCAAGACGTGATAGCTGACCCTCACGGCCTTGGGAGGTGCTGCCGCGGTTTCTGGACTGGCCGCAGTGGAAGGCTTGGCTGTGAGTTTCAGAGTGGAGCTGCCCTTCAAAGGGATGATAGTACCCCCCCATTATCACCCCCTATGAAGGACTGTTAGTATAAGGGGGAACCATCCCAAGGTTCAGGGCGCAGTGGTGTCCACTGCACATTCCTCTAAGCAACGTTTGTAACAAGTCTTGCCGGGCTCCTCCTGAGCAACTGGGCGTTTGGTCCAGAGTCTTTCGTGGACTCTTCCCAAATTAGGCCAATCAGGCACATTGATGGTCGCAACCATACGGGCTTGTTCCAAATCAGGCTGCTTTTTTTTTTTTTTTGGGGGGGGGGCTCCTTTTGCAGGGGCTTCAGTGAAACAGTGAGTGCGCAGGCGAGGGGTCTGGAAGGTACGACGCACGATGGTCGAGCGGAAGAGTATGTGCGCAGAAAGTATGCACGGCAGAAGAAACATGGAGAGGGACGGATCTACAGGCGAAGGAGTGAGGAAAGAGGATAGACACTGTCTACGGGGGAGCAAAGGGAGTGGGTGATGGGTGCTCATCGGCGGATTGGATGCCGCCTTAGTGTCGCCCCCGGGGTCCCAGGCCCACCGAAAACTCCAAGAGCTCCGGACAAATCCCCGTAGGTCCCGTAAACAAATTGCAAACAGACCGCAGGCAAAACCAGCAGTCTGTGCGCTCATGGAGTGACAGACGCAGAAGCATACGTTCAGCACCCGCATGAACAGCACACCGTGAACTCCTGCAGCGTCTGGGTGGGCTTCACTTCTCGCAGCTGGGCGTTGGGACAAAACGGTGGGATCCATGTTAATAGAATATTACACTAGTAAGACACAATGTATGCTAATAATAACAGAATAATCTAGTACTACAGTAATATGGTCATATACCAATTTACAAAAAGCAGGGTGACTGCTGTATATGCGGGCTCATGCCATCCCATACCTGTCACCATACCTTTACCTTGCTGTTCCGCACATTTTTACATGCGTTTTTCTATTCGAGCAAAACCTACGTAGGGCCCTTAAAAGGTGGGATGAAGGTAGGTGAACACCATTAGGATTCCCCAGCTAGCTTCCCACCTGTGAGCCAAAGAATATGGCCCCCTGGTTTAGGGGTTAGGGTTTAGGGTGTAGGCTTGAGGAATGGGCCCAGTTCAGTCGTCTACCCTCCAAGTAGGAAACACCGGCTTGTTGAATGACAGTAGAGTGAGCTTAGCTGCTCCGCGAGCGGACTACGATGACCATCTACTCCTGCATAATGTCTTGTAGCTGCTTATAGTAAATTTAGGGCTCAAGGTCTACGGTGGACATGGATAACTTATCTTTCCAGGCAGGGATGCCGGGGGCAGGGGCTCTTCTACACATTGTAAGTTGCCTCCGAAAAGCCCCTGTCAGCTGCTTAAACATGAGTATTGTTGACCATGGCCCATTTAGCCTCAGGTCTATGTCCAGGTTGACTTCGCATCGCAATGGCGATACTGAAAGCTTTCCATTCACAAGCTGGTCACGTTGCAGGGCTGCGCATGAGAGCCATCCTTGCTTGGCTTTGCCTCCTGCCTGCCTTGCGGCTAAAGGCTGAAGACCTAGACTCCAACTGCAATCTCTCGGAGTCGGAAGGGGCTGATCTGGCCCTCTTGCAGTCGTCGAAGCTCCATGACTCCAGCCGCTCCCAGGCGCGTCTGGAGGCGCTGCTGCAACGGGCAAGTGAGGCCTGCCCTAAGGCAACTGAGGAGTTCATGGGGGCTCAAAAGATAGCAGGGCAAAGGATCCTATTTTCGCGCATTTTGGGGCCATACTTCCTTCATCCCACCTACCTTCATGCCACCTTCTGAGCCCCATGAGGAGTGCCTCTTGATTCTGAGCGATGTGCGGGACAAGGTCTGGCCAAGGGTGCAGGAGGAGGCGAACTGGTCGCAGCCTGCTTGGCATCCTGCATCTAGGCTGGGACTTTGCTACGGCTTGGGGTTTGGGGTTTAGGGGTTTAGGGGCTTTCCCACAATTTTTCCCTATGCCTCCAAGCACTATTTCGGTTGCTATTCTTGAGGATATAAATCCTGCAGGCCTTCATGTACGAGAACTTTTGGGAATTCTGGCCCCTAAAAGCCCAGCAGGTACGTAACTGGAGGGCCAATCACTTTCTAGCTTTAGAGGTTCCTCTATTTTCATGCTAAGTTAAGGGAGCTAAAGGTTATTATTCATTTTTTATTTTTTTTGGGGGGGGGGAAAAAGCAACCAAGGCATGGACGGACACTGAGGAGGCAAAGGGAGACGTAGGCTGCTCTCAGAAGAAGCAGACCATGTACTATCGCCATACCTGGAAGGCAGCTGGCCACACTGTCTTCGAAAATCTGAAGCGCATCAGCACCCACTGCAACTCAACCTTGGAAGGCCGGTGGTACCCGAGCTGGTGCCAAGACTACAACGCCGCGGACGGTAAAGATCACGTGGCTTACTGGTGTAGGGTTTAGGGTGTCGGGAGAGGGGGAGTGAATATCAGTACCATTATAGGGGGTTATCTAGGGATAACTCTGGGGATCTTCTCCCCCACTCCCTTGAGCACCAGTAAGGTGGCCTTCACCTTTGTCCGAGATCCAATCTCACGGTTCATTTCTGCGTATGCAGAAATCGAGGGGAGAATGCGCAGGCATCTTTACGTTGTTGGGTTGCATTTCGTGAACCTAAATTCACCTTCAGATACAATAATAAGGACACCCTGTAATTTACTATATACCTCTAGTATAGTAGCTCAAATTAAGTTACCACAATAAGGAAGCCTGATCATTTTTACTATGCAACCCTATTGTGGGACCTTAAATGAAGTTCCTGAACAGCAACTCAGGTTGGTCTGCGCAAAAATCTGAGCACATACGAGCCAGGGAGTACTCAGCGAGCTGCAAGATTCTTTGAGGCCTTGCTTGCGCACATGGGTCTTTGTCTAAGTTCGCTAAAATACTCGTCCCTATAGATACCGGTCCCCATGTAAAGGTCCCCCCATTTTGAGAACAGTAAGTTAGGCCAAGTCCCACATGCCTGAGCGGAAAGCAGTGTTCCAGGAACCTCTCAAACCAACCTCAGTTAAGAAGTTTCAGCGCCTCACATGACATAGCCACACATTTAATAGGAGCCCTCTGAAACGGGCAGGGTAGTGAAGTATTTTGTTCTTCGTTGTCTGACTTGTCCCGCTTTTGGGATTTTAGCCTTGTAGCTCCGCAGGACAGGAAAACAAGAAAGAGCGAATCAATGAAAGCAGGGGGCACGCCAGAAGTAAGCAGATGCATTGAAACCAAACAAGTTCAGAACTCCAGGAACAGCAACAACAAATTTGCATCCAGCAGTCACAGTTGCTGGAGAGTCCTAGTGGCAGCCTTGGTCTTGAGTTACCCAGGTTTAGGGTTTAGGGTTTAGGGTTTAGGGCTTAGGGTTTGCAAAAAAGGGTTTCGGGTTAGGGTGTGCAGGGTCTATATCGGGTCAAGGGTTTAGGTGCCGAAGCGCTCGGAACCTAGCGCCCAAAAACAAAAAGCATCCTCCCCAGAGCCCTTGAAGTAAGCACAATCATAGTTCGGTACCTGGAACCCCTGAGGAGCAGGTATCTGGGTGTCCAGGGGCAACGAAAACTCAACAAAATCTAACACATTCGACTCCTGTAGATCCCTGGAGAATCGTAGTCGCGTCCACGAGAACACCAGAGCCAACAAGACAGGGACTGGCACCACCCAATGTATGGGCAAGTTTAGACACTTAAAGCAGTCTCCCTAACATCTTCCGCCACCACTGTCTAGGCAAACGTTGAGCACGCAATGTGCTTGCACAAAAATGATAACGAACGTGTAAACCTGCAGGGTTTATACACCTAGCCTAGCAAGAGATACAGGGGCCTTAAAGTTACTGCATAGCAAGCACTTTGAGGCTCAAGTATCTTCCATATAGGTACATCGGCCCTTGTGGTTTGACTATTGCAATGTGCACCGGCCAAGATTTGCGACGCCGCCCAAGATCTCCTTCCGTTGGCTTTTTGCCCAGCCCAAGCCCCCTTCCGTTTGCTTGTTGCGTTCAGCATGTGAAATCTCCCATGGCAAACCTTGTGCGGGTGATAGCTTTCCCATGATACCCCATAGTTTCCCACGTTGCCCCAATTTCTTAGACCCAAAATTAACCCAGCCGTACTCCATAAACAGAAGTATTTCAGTTTCGGGTTCTGAGCAACAAGTGTGGCAATTTCGAAGCCCATCGTTGGGCTCAAAACCTCAGCCGTGCCCCATACGCCCTCTTTGTTGCTCCCTATGGGAAACTTGTGATTCATAAGATTAGACGCTTGAAGCTGTTCCTGTGGACAAGTTTGTTGAGTTGAGCATGTGGTGTTGTGGTCGTCCAGCCTCCCTCCCGTGCCCACGCCTGCTAAAATGAACCACAAACCTCTGTCTGGATCCGCTCGTTAAAATAAAACCTTGTGAAGGTCTCTCTTATGGCAATACGTGGGCCGATACGAGCTACTTTGAAGCCATCCCCCAAGGATTTTTCGTGAAGCAACATTCATTCCTGGGGCTGGGCACGGCAATTGGGCGCTGCGGGGGCATCCAGCACTGAAGCGTCACACGCGTTGGCATTGTAGGAACCTTCCAAATCCACGGGAAAATCTCCTATGTCGTTTTCGGGAGCTCCTGAGCATCACATGTTTTGTCCTCCCCTAGACCTCCAGTCACCTAAATATCCTTTTAACCCACCCAGGAACTTTAAACCCTAAACCACGCTTTGTCCTCCAGGAGTTCTTGCGGACGGGCATCCACCGAGATGGTCACCTAAAGGGCCAGCTCGAGTTCATGGCCCCCATGTTTAACTGCTCGGTGCCCATGGACTTCATAGGCAAGACTGCGACTCGGTGGGACTTTACTACAACTTCACCACATCACAGCTTTTGGGTTCCTCTCTTTCTTATTACGGGAGCCAAAAGTTAGACCTTGATTGTTGGGGAGTTAAAAGACTAGACGAACCAAGGAGAGCATGCAGCAAGACTGGAAGAGGCTCTTCAGCCGCGCGGGTCTGAAGTGCCTTCCTGCCTTCGACAGATCGCTGGGCTTGCACCCGAACGACGAGCATGACCAGCGGGCTATGGAAGCATCCCTGGGACTGGCAGATAGCGAGAGCGCGGGCACGCCTGCATTGCTGCAGACATCTGCTATCATGCGCTCCATGCAAGTAGCCCTCAAGGAGAACGGGGCGAGATACTTGCGAGCCTTGTGCTGGCTGTATTTGGCAGACTTCGCTGCCCTGAATTTTGAGCTTCCCCTCGAGTGTCAGCAGGGTCACTTGAAAAGCACGCTGCTCGCCGTGAAACCCAGTCTGCTGCTGCAGCGAGGTAGCTGAACAAAATGCTTTGTCTCTAGCCCGACACCTCCAAGTACCTACATCTGCTTCTCTTTGGGGTCCCAGTTGCCTCTATTTTGTGTACTTCGGGGGGCGGGGAAATTAAGCCCTAAACGCCAAACCCTTGCAGCCCCCCCTGCCTGTCCAGCAAAGCTGATCTGGTAGAGGGCTGCGCTTTTTAAAACGAAGCTCTGGCTCGTTGGCAGTCCCATTGGTTGAAAAGAGTCCGCAAGCACGTAGGGTAAGTCCTCAGGTAGGGTTATGTAGGGCTTATCTTATGGTATTTTGGTGTGTATATAGGGCTCCTTAGAAGAATTGGTCAGTGTACATTATGGTTTGGCGTCGTGAGTCCTGCAACCCCCCGCCCCCCCCCCCTTCCCCCCAAGATATCCCGCCCACCCCCCCCCCGCCCCCTGAACCCTGAAACGTAATTCTTTAAACCCTAACCCCAATCCCCCAACCACACGACCCTAAACCTGAAACTGCAAGCCCCAAATCTTAAACCCTAAAACAAAAACAGCCCAAACCCCTCAACCACACCACAGGAGCGGGGGGGGGGGGAACCACCCTAAACCCTTTCAAAATTTTGGCCTTCGGCTTGATCGATGTTGGTTTTCCCCGATCGCACCGCAGAGGGCAGTGTCACCGGGTATGAGGTCTCAGTGCAGCTATTTGGTTTATCCTCATTTTGCCAGGGTCTGTTGGCTCTGACAGTTCTGCAGTGTCCCCTGCACCCCCCCGATTAAGCTTTTCTTCGTGGAGAAAGTGCGCCTACACGGTTTTTCGCCTGGCAGCTACATGTCGCAAGGGCTGGTTAGGCATTTCGATATCTGACTGAGAGCTCGCTTTCCGACGCAACTCGACGTCTCCAGGCTTTGCCTTTCCAGGCGCCATCAGGCAATAGTCAGGGGCAAACCGATCAGGACGGCGTATGGGGGCGGATGGCACACAGCCTTCGGCAAAGACCGTCGAACTCTCCTAGCCTTCGTCGAAACTCTTGGCCTTCGTCGAACCCCCCTCCCGGCCCTTGTGGCCTTCGTCGAACCTCCGGCCTTCATTTAGCCTTCGTCGAACCTTCGCGTTTTTTTTCGGGCTTTGTCTTGGCCTTTTGTATCGGTCTTCGTCGAACCCCCTCCCCCTTCGTCGAACCTCCCGGCCTTCGTCGAACCTTCGCCCGGCCCCCCGGCCTTCGTCGAACTTCGTCTCGGCCCGTTGGTATCCCGAGTCTTCGTCGAAGTTCCCCGGCCATCCTGCTCTTCGGCCATCCTGATGTGTTTTCCCCTTAAATAGTAAATCCGGAACCTTAAGCACCAAGCCCCAAAGCCCGAACAGAAACGCCTTGGGAAGCTCTGACGAACATCAAAGCCCTGCAGAGGCACAGCTGCCTTCTGCATCTCCAGGCGGTGCGCTGAAATGCCAAGCCAGCAACTTAGACTTTCGATGTCTGGCTCGCGCAATGCCCCCCAAGACTCAACAGTCTGCAACCAGAAGCCCAAATGGTTTTACCCAACTACGGGACCCACTAATATAGTCTCCAAATAGCACCATTCCCTTAGAAGATGGACCCCAATAGGGTACCCCTAATTTGGGAAAACCCCCCACATGTGAGCCAACTTCCAGCCCCCGCTGCGAAGCCCACGTAAGCACGGGGTCCCCCAGGCTTCCCTGTGGAGCGCTTGCCAGCCTGATCAGCCGGGAGCCCGGAGGCCCTTTAAGAGAAACCTTGGCGCATGGTGGTTTTTCATTGGTTCAGGCGGCACCTTATCAAAATTGTACTTTTGTCATGATTATGATCGCGATCATTATTTCACTATCATTACTACTATCATCAAGATAGAGTCGAGATCTACAGGCCCAGCGTTCGTTTTGACTTGTGGCGCAGGGCCCGTAGAGCGGTGACCGGCCTGGCGCTGGCTGTGCAGGCGTGAGGCAACTTCAACACCACTAAAAGCACAGACTTCTGAGAGTCGAAGCCCTCAACTTTCAAGAGAAAACATCCACAATATGTATACATATATATATATATATATATTTATTTATTTATTTATTTATTTGTATTTATATATATATATATATATGTGGCCGAGACCTTTAGGGTCTATTTCACGGCTGGTTCTTCTTTCAGTAGTAGTGCAATAATAATAATAATGTTAATATTATTATGAGTATAATAATACTGACCGTAATTGTAATAGGAATAATAATAGTACTAGTAATAGTAATAGGAATAGGAATAGTAATAATACTAGTAATAGTATTAGTAGTAGTAACAGTAATAGTGAAGGTTTGGTCTGTGTGTGCACCGGCGCCAGCAAGTGCAGCCATGTAGCTCTAGCACACTTTGAAGTAAGAGATAGACAAGTTGTTTCATAGCCTGAAGAGGGGCGAAGGGCCCTCTCATTTCCGATTACGAGGTAGAGGTGAGCTATCTCATTTCTTAGAAACATAGAGGAGATCTCATTTCCACGACAGAGACATCTTTCACTCAGGAGAGAACGCAAGCTGTTTCATTTCCAAGAAAATAGAGGAGCTCTATCATGTCGTTAGAAGTGAGAAGCTCTGCACTAAAAGATAGAAGGCATCGATTCGTTTCCCTTTTTCTTTTGCTTATCAAAGGGTCTTTTCAGTTCGAACACAGGATTTCTTTCATGCCCTAAAAGAAGGATCGAGGAGCTCTTTCATCTGAGAGATAGAAGAACGCATTCATGAAGTATACACGAGCTCATTTCTCGTCAAGAGGCAGAGGCGTGCCCAGCTCTACCATTACCTAACTCTTACCTGAAATTTCTCTATCTCGCAATAGGTCATGAGAGACCTCCTTTTGCACGCTGCAGGAAATGAGAGAGTTCTCTTCTATGTCGATTTTCAGAAATAGCTTCGCAGCTTCTCTATCAATGAAGAGTTTTGAAGGCCACTCTGGGCCATTCTCTGTCCATCAAATGGGACATGACATAACGCATCTCTCGCTATCGTTTACGTGATAGAGTTTCGCTATCTCTGAATAGGTCATCTGAAAGCTCCTCTGTATCTTTGCAGCAAGTGAAGGAGCTCCTTGCCTCTTCTGCAAGAGCCCTCCGCTTCCTATTTTGCAATGAGCAAGCTCTTTTATCTCCTCTGGTTCCTAATAGGTCATGAGCGGGCTTCCCTCTCTCCTTCTCTTTTAGGGGATAGAGGAGGTTTTTTCATGTTGCGTTAACAGCTAGAGGACATCATTTATATCCATTCTGTCATTTCGTATGAGAAGATACAGGAGCTCATTCATCTCCTAGTCAGAGATTGAAGAACTCGTTCACAAGAGATATAGATATAAGAAATCTCTCATACAATGTATAAGAGCTCTCTCATGTCCTACCTAGTTCATTTGCCGTCACCAGCGCTCAGCTCTACCATTTCGTATCTTTTATATGACATAGCTTCTCTATCTCGCAATAGGTCATGAGAGACCTCCTCTTTCTTTTGCAGGAAATGAGAGAGGTCTCTATCTACCTTTTGTGAAAGAGCTCCCTTTGTTCAATCACAAGAACTCATTCATAGAAGCTGTAAGAGCTCTCGAATGTACTTTCTTGTTAATTTCCCGTCGATAGGTAGAGGAGCTCACAGCTCTACCACATCCTACCCTTTACATGGAAGAGGCTCCTCTATCTCGTAGCGGGTCAAGAAAGATTGCCTCTATCTCTTTGCAGAACATTAGAGAGTCCTCTACCTACCTCTTGTGAAAGAGCTCCTTCACCTCAAAATCAAATGCCACAACTCGTCTATCTTTCACTGGGACATGAGACAGCTCCATTGTGAATTTCTATTCAGAAATAGCTGCTTCTCTATCGATGAAGAAATCATGCGAGTAGCCGTTTATCGATGCATAAGAAATGACATAGCTCTTCTACCTTTTTGCGACAGATCTCTTCTTTACCCGAAATGAAAGTTTGGAAGGCCATTCTCTATCCCTTGAATGGGGACACAACTCATCAGTCTCTATCGTTTACGTGAGAGAGTTTCGCTATCTCTGAACAGGTCATCTGAAAGCTCCTTTGTGTCTGCGCAGCAAGTGAAGGAGCTGCTTGCCTCTTCTGCAATAGCTCCTCCGCTTCCTATTTTGCAATGAGCAACCTCTTCTATCTCCTTTGGTTCCTATTTCTCGTTTGCCATCACTAGGCAGAGGAGCTCTCAGCTCTACCATGACCTATCCTTTACATGAAAGAGGCTTCTCTATCTCGTAACGGTTCATGGAGTCATGACAGATCTTCTCTATCTCTTTGCAAGAAAAGAGAGAGTGCTCTACCTACCTCGTGTGAAAGAGCTCCTCCACCTTGTGATCGAGAGTGACAGAACTCGTCTGTCTTTCAATGGTGCATGAGCCAGGTTTTTTGTTTGTATTTGAGAAAAAGCTTGTCTACCCGTGATATAATAAGAAATGAATAGCTCTTCTACCTTTCTGTGACAGATCTCTCCTTTATTCGAAATGAAAGTCTGGAAGGCCATTCTCTATCCCTGAAATGGGGCATGACATAACTTTGCAATCTCTATCGTTTACGTGATCGAGTTTCGCTATCTCTGAATAGGTCATCTGAAAGCTCCTCTGTATCTTTGCAGCAAGTGAAGGAGCTCCTTGCCTCTTCTGCAAGAGCCCTCCGCTTCCTCTTTTGCAATGAGCAAGCTCTTTATCTCCTCTGTTTCCTAACAGGTCATGAGACAGCTCATTTCCACACTGTCATTTCGTATGCGAAGACACAGGAGCTCATTCATTTTCTATTCAGAGATTGAAGAACTCATTCATAAGAAATGTATGAAAGTTCTCTCATGTCCTATCTAACTGATTTCCCGTCACTAGGCAGAGGAGTCCTCAGCTCTACCATTTCTTATCTTTATATGACATAGCTTCTCTATCTCGCAATAATCAGGTCGTGAGAGACCTCCTCTTTCTTTTACAGGAAATGAGAGAGGTCTCTATCTACCCTTTGTGAAAGAGCTCCCTTTGTTCACTGGCAAGAACTCATTCATGA